TACACAGTTACCATAGATGTGGATTTTAGCAGGCACTCTTGGAATAATCTAAATGTTAATAGCTTAATCAAAACCGGACTGTAGTTTATTTAAAAAAAAAAAACAAACAAACCAACAACATTTCAAGTGAGTTTTGCGCTTACTGCTCCCTTATTTGTGGGGCCATCCTGCACAGATATTTTGTGAAAATATTGAAGTAAAATCAGATAAAGTGAAATCAAACTGTGTCAGCCATACTGTCACTGCTCTTATACTTCGTTATGTACTCTTATAACATATGAAGTTTGTTTATGCATTAAGACTTGAGGGTTTTTACAGTTAATTTTAACTTTGTTTAGTATAACAGCAGTAAGTATTGTAATTGTGTGTTTCATGGGGAACTTAACTGTTTTGAAAATGGTGAATATGTTTTGCAAGTTTTTAAGTAAGAATATCCTTAGAATATTAACCCTGTGACGCTGGTAGAATTATGCTGCCCTGAGATAAAGTTGTCAGTTTAAAATACATTAGTTAGCAGTGATTTTTATTAAACTTACATTCTGTTTATGACATATCTCTTCACTCCTTTATTTAAAAAGTAAAGTCAGTCAATAAAACAGAAGACTTAAAGAGTATTATGGTTTAAGAAGAAATTACTACATTAACAGTGCAGCCAGACCAGTACAATCTCAGTCCCCTTTTATTGGAACTTTTGGGAGTCAGAGATAATAAAGAAGAACAGGGCAGCAATGTCTGAATGATGTTGACCCTTGTTTCATAGTAATTGTGAGTTCTGTGTAGTCTCAGACCGTTGAGTCGAGCACTCAGGGCAGCCCTGCACACTTGCTTTGCTGTGTGTCAGAGCCAATGTGCTCCTAGTGGACAGGGATCCCCTGTCCCAACAGGGATTGCACCAAGACAGAATTAACAAGTCCCAGTGGATTTTACCAAACCTTAGAACCATATGGATAGCCCTGTACTCTCTTCAAGTTTCAGAAGATTGGTGCAGCTGACTCTGCATGGTGCTTGGTTCCTCCAGGACTTATTAGCTCAGAAGAGCAGTGTATGAAAGCAACTGAACTCCTTCTGGGGCAAAGTTGAACCTGGAATATTGTAGCTGTGGCACTTGCTTTACTTAGTAGCTTCGGCTGTTTCTGAGCTGGGTCCGTGTAGAGTAAGCTTACAAAAATGGCCCAAGGCTTAATAACATGTGTACCTACTTTACTGTGTTAACTCGGATCAAGGGTGTGCTCTTGAAGGAAGTCTCACAGTCATCATCATCACTTGGGAAACTTTAATTTCACATTGGTTTGCACTACTTCAGTGGATGAGCTAGATTCCTTTTGGAGGAAAATATATTACAAAATGCACCCTTACATGCAAATGGGTGAACCACCCCAAAACATGTAGTGTCGACATTAGGGTCTCAACTCCGTTAGTTTTGTTTAACAGACTTGCTCCTGTTGCATTGCTCTGCTTGTTTGCACAGACATAGTCTAAATTGACTACATGCAGAGACCTGACACAAATCCATCATTTTGGGGGCTAAAGATTTCATTGTTTCAGTATTTTCACTGACATCAGGCCAGTTGATCACTGCTTTTCTTTCTCTGGTATTTTCGTGACCACTGTAATATTCACTCAAATTACATTCTTGCTTAAAGAGCTGCCAGTTAAAATGCAGCTGTCAAGAATGCTGCTTGCATTCAGTTTCACTTGAGATAATACTTCCACAAGCAACAGAAGTTTTAAAAATATCTCAGGACTATTTAGTTCCCTACTTACACGTTTGAATAAATTGGGGAAATCTGAAGTTCACCATATAGAATACTGAGACAGCAGTGAATGTATCAGACACTGATCAGTGAGTTGTACTGCCATAGTAGTAGGACAATCTGCAGAGAAGTTCAAGATACTGTTCCCAAGATGTTTACAAGCATATTCTACCTTGATCCAGCTTAGCATCTTCTAACTTTTCATGCCTAACCTTTGGCTTCTACTTGTTTAGAAATTGGATGTCAGAGGCCCCTCTGACTGTTGTAAGAGTATCTACATTTCTAGTGTGTTCTGTAGCTCCTGACAGAAAAGAATGTGCTATGCGGTTCCCTTCACTGTAGCATCTAGGGTGCATCTTCCTCTCTCATCCAGATCTCTCACTTCTCCAGTGAGCAGTTTTGATCTTGGTATCTGTTGATCCTCAGAGCTTTCATAATGGAAATAGAATTAAACTGTTCTCTCTGCTGGTTTCACATTAGTAGTTACATATAGTAGGGAGAAAGAGACCAAGGCTTTCTTTAATTCTGGTGTTCATCTTCAGTGTCACAGAAGTAGAGGTGTGAGGATTGGTCCATGCAAGAATTAAGTTAGTAGCAGGGCAGCTTTCTACATATTTAAAATAAGTGTACAAATATAGGGGACGGAGGGGAAAGAACAGTGTTTTAAGTGAAATGGATTGTTGAAGCCCTATGAATAATTGTGTTTCACATCATCTAACTAGGAGATTGAAAGACTAAATTTGTTCTCTTCTTACTGCCTTGTCCCTCTTATGCAGTAAATAATAACTTTGTTGGCTGCTAAATCTTTGCTTTTTAAATTTAAACTAAAAAAACCCAACCAATTTCTCTTGTGTGCATATGTAACATCCACTGAGTACAGTATGTTTCAGCATCTTTTAATTCAACGAATTGTTTCACCTCTTAGTCCCTAGGCTTTTTTTCATTTGCTTCTCCAAAATGGTGGCTCAGATAAAGTGCTTATCAGAGTGAGAGAAGGGAATGCACCTACAGGCAGCCTGGATAATTACTTCCCCAATTGTTCTTTGTTTTACAGACCACTCCTTAACATCTTGTGTACCTTTGATGGTGTAACACTGTTGTAGCCTATTTAGAACCACCTCAGACCCAGTAGCTTATTGCTGTACCATCTGCCCTAAACACCTTTGAATCTTGTCTGTCTGTCTGTCAGCTTGCAATATAGATAAGGACTGAGAGCCTTAAATATCTTAATTTTGTGCCTTTTCTGTTGGCTGTTTTTGTGCGTGTGTGTGAAAGTTTCAAATAGTGATACTAAGGCAGATAAGGGAGTTCTGTTCCTTTCCATACCATCTGGATTTCAGATGAATGTCAGCTGATGTGCAGATAGTCTGAAGAGACAATAAATAGTTTTTATAAAAATAAAATGGCATACATCTTTACTGCCTTTCTTTGCCTATGCAGTTTTAAAAATTCAAGAATGACAGGAAGGAAATGTGTTCTCAGGCATGTGGAGTCTAAGAGAAAGGGGAGGTTTTATGTTTATTATATTACATAAAATCTTTATTGAACTGTTGGAAGATTGCTTGCATTCACTCTCTTCTTTCTTCTACCATCTTAGATCTTTTGTCACAGGAGTGTTCATTGTTTTGCCTAATGAGGTGTTGATAAAAGCCCTTTGAGGCCAATTAATGAATGCCATCATCACACACCTCATGTAATGGATGTAGTTGTAAGTGTGGTTTTGAATTAATTATGTGATAGGATTATACATATGTTCTTAGACCAGAATAAATAAGTTCTGATGTTCAGAGGTGTTATCAAATACATTTGGGTTTCTTTTTCATCTTTTCCAGTCCACTATATACATTTACCTCTCATAGTTGTTTCCAGAGTCTGGGGGAATAAAGTTTTCCTACATAATTCTCTTGTAATTTTTTAGCTCTTTCAAAGTACCTACTATTATGGTAGAGTACTGATACTAGCTTTTACTTCTAGTATTTAAGACTGTCATTAGTGGCTTACTCTTGTACATGTATGAAAGGCACATCTGTCTTCTGCGAAACTTTTTTCCAGTTCCTTCTGTGTTCAGTGCTGCCATTGTGCTCATGCCTTGAGGAAAGCATGAACACAGTGATACAGATCTGTTGTACGTATCAGAATTTTGCTTACTGTAACTCTCTTTCTCAAGACAGCCTGCTTAGTTTTTGACTCATGGTTGCCTTGTTGGAAAGCATTTGCGGTGAAGATACAGGACTGTAGGTTGTAAGGTAGTCTGTACAGTCCAATGAGAAATGCAAATATTTGTGCGGACAGCTAACTGGATTCTTGTGATAATGTGTCTTTGTGATTCCTATCCACATGATCCAGTGTGTTTGCAGTTCCTCCAGTGCTTCCTCACTGCAGTGTGAATGTACGTGTGTGCTCGGCAGCATTAACAGTAACCGAGTTTAGATTTTTTTTTATGACTGAGGGCCAATCTTTTTTTGAAGACTTGACTGTGTAAGGTTGCCAAAATAATACTGTAAACAAGAATGCATGCCTCCTTAGTTGCATTAAGGGTGATCTTGAGGTTTTTGCTATTGGGTGGTGTCTGTTTCAGGGTCAGTAACATAATAATAACTATCTGAATAGCAAATGATGTTGAAATGATCTTTACTCTCCATGGTAGCATGTTGACTCTTAGCTCATGGGCTAATGTCCAAGTTGTGCTCTAGAAGATTTGTGGACTGGGAAGTTAAAAATAGATCACAGAACTCTCTTCCAAGCTTTTAACTCTCTCTGTGCTAGAATTTGGGGAATCTCCCCAATGTCATCATAAATACAATTCCCATTAATGCTGAGCATTGGGATGTCTCAGTTCTCTCTCTCATCTTGTGCTTCAGTTGTATTGTCTGTGATCATTTCTTGTACAATAGCACTACTTCTTTTATTGAAAATATATTACGAGATTAATTTTGCTTTCAAATACTGCAAAGTTAACTTTATTTTAAAGAAACTGTACAAACTGTTAAATGCTCTTTATTGGTATGAGGAATCAGACACAGTTTTGTTTTTCTCTTCATTCCGAAACACTTCTCTAGAAGTGCTGCCTACTACATTTGTAGCTTAATGAATAGTTGGGGGAAAACAAGTTAAAAATAGTTTTAATTTGGAGTTGAATGTCTTAAAGATTGAAAATAGTTATGGACACTTATCATATGCCCTGCTTTTGTAATTCATGTTTGGGAACTGACTGGTACAAGTTTTCTTTTCTGTCTTTTTTGGCAGATTGTGACTGCAAGAATGTCTTTTCCACCTCATTTGAATCGCCCTCCTATGGGAATCCCAACACTTCCCCCTGGGATCCCACCTCCACAATTTCCTGGCTTTCCTCCACCTGTACCTCCTGGTAAGTTATATTAGTGTATGGAAGTGTTGTAGAAATAAATTTCCTTTTATTATTCTGAATTGTTTAAAAAGTTACTGGCTCTTAATGTATTTCAAAACTCTGATTTGTGTATGTTACAGTTGAGTTTCTGGTTTGCCCACTGATCATGTCATGTGAGCGAGCTCCTTTTGGTCTACCAAAAGCTGTTTACTTTTGACCAGAAATGAGACCATTAGAAACAATACTGGACTTTGTCTTGGACCTTCATCCAAGACTGAAGCTAAGTGGTGATTTTGGTTAGCATTAGGTGTTCTAAGAGCCACTGTTTTGGCAGTAGACTCTGATTTTCAATTCCTTTCACTTAAGCCATTGTAATAGCCTTTGGATACTCTTGGGTACACTGAGTACATGTAACGTGAAAATACAGGAGTAACTTTCAGAGAAGGTCCAACTTGTTGCATTGTGTTTCTTTGCTTTTTTTATGTCCCACTTTCTTTTATTCTGTTTCTTACGTACTTTCCTCCACACATCTTGCAAACTTGCTGTTATGTTCTTCATTGCTTCTAGTCTTCACAAAATTATTCCCATCTTTTTGTCTTTGTTCTGTAAGATCTGTAAGATCAGCCTCTGCTTTTTGCATTGAGATTGTAATTTCTTGTTCTGGAACCACTTTTTTTCTGTATGTGGCCTATATGGATGACAGTGACTGGAGGCAAGAGGCCACAGAGCGAGTGGGAGAAAGGAATGCATCAGATTTACCTCTTTAAAATTTGTCACAAGGGCTGCAGAAAATATCTTCTGTCTCTATGGTCTTAAGTTGTGTCGTACACAAGTGTTTTGTAGACAATAAAGGCATTCAAAAACCAAATGGCTGAACTACGAAAAGATTCTGCACATCCATTTATCAAGCTAATCTTTACTTGCATTTATTTTTCTAAAGTTTTTTCATCAGATCTATGAGCTGTTATCTATTTTCTGCTAAGGCAGAGTTCTTGTTCAGATAGCATCCTGCCATCAAAAATTTCAAGTTAAGTTTTAAAACCATACCTCTTATCTTTACTAGCTCCAGTTTATATATACTACTGTAAAACACCAGATACTTTAAACAATAACTTTCTGACAAATATTTTTAAATGCCTGATAAATTTCTTCTCTGAACAATTTCCTGCTTAACATGTGTGACATAGATCTTTTTGTTCTCTTGCTGTGTTTGACTTTTTATATAAGTAGTCTTGTGTTAGGATTAGGAATCTGAAGAGTGGAGAAGCCTGGTATCAGGTGAGAATAAAATTCTTCTCCGCACACTAGAAACATGATTTGCTTACCTGTGCAGACAACATATTTTGACATATAGAGGATATGGATCTCGGTTCTTAGTGTAAGTGCATCAGTAGAGTTGAAAATGTTACAGAGATTTTTATGAAAGCCTGCTCTTATTATTTTTCACTAGCTCTTTGGTCAAAATTTCATGTTTAGCCTATAATTTTTTTGAAAAGTTTCAGCTGCAGTAGTTTGCTATTATAAGAATAAAGTTAGAGAAGGTATTTTGTTTTGCTTAAAAATATTGTTGTTAAAAACAAGAAGTTGTAGCATTTCCACATCTCAGTGTGGAAGATTTGATAAGAAGCAGATCCTGACAACTCTTGTCATCTCTGAAGATTATTGGATACCATTAAGATGTAAAACATTCCAGTTCGTATGTCAGAAATGCTGTAGTGGGTCAGACCTGCAGTCCATACAGACTGATGCATTGTCTGGGCAGTGGGACTACAAAATGGGATTTTGGATGGGTTTGTACACCTATCTACTTTCTCAGTCTGTTCCCTCATACAACTGTAGCATGAAGGATCTTAGAATATGATCTTTCATTTGACCTTTATCTTTTTCTAGGCCTGTCATTCACGAACACTTTGGTGTTTTTTGACCTTGCCAATACTGTCCATTTCCACTATCACCTCTTAGACCAAATTTGAGAAGTTCCTTAACTGCTGTGTGAAGTGCTACTCTATTATTTTTGTCTTTAAATTCACTACCTACTTAGTGTCCCTCTCCTGCCCCAGTTCTGATGTGGGAGTTAGGTGAATTGTGGTTTGTGCTTTTGCACACCTTAACCACATTCCATGTCTTGCTTCCAAACCTCCACACTTGAAGAGTCCCAGAGTGTACAGTGTTTCATAGTAAGGCAGCTGCTTTAACAGTTAATTCATGTAGTTGCTCTTCTTAGCCTAAGGCTGGGTGATGTTCTTGGGTTGCACAGACCAGGTCTGTAGACTGTTGTCAAAGGTGTAGGTGCACCAAGCTTTTGTGTAGCAGTTAAATTATGCCTGTGCTCAGTATGTTTGGTGATGATGCCCAATATTTCAGTGGATTTTTTGGCTTGTGCTGAGCATTGGGCTGATAGTTTCATAGAATTGTCAGTCATTTCACGAGTATCTTTACTAAGATGTAACTTTAAAATCATTGTGATAATCATAGTTGTAATAGTTATAGGGCTGCACAATTAATCTTGTCTGGGAGTAGTTGTTACCATCTGTGAGATGCCATGGTGCATTAAAACTGAGAGCATGAGAGAGCAATACACTTTTGATTCTCTGAGTGGCTTGGAGGGATAAGAGGTGGTATGACTTTCATATGAAGGGACTGAGGAAGAGGATTGAGTGCTAGAGACAATAAATTAAAAAAATAACATAAATAAAACAAAACAGGAGTGGATGAGAAAGCTGAAGAGGGAGGAGACTTCTCCTGTCTGAGGAGAAGTGCTGTTTCAGGACTACACATGAGAGAAAGTGGGGGAACAAGTCCAGGAACAGTAGGTTGCAGAAGTTTAGTTAGATATGAACAAATGGAGAAAGGAAGGATCAAAAGGGAAGGATTGAGAAGGGAAAAAAGATGAAAGCTTTTTATAGAATAAAAAAAGAAAACCATAGGATCTCTACAGGCTATTTTCTGTGAAGGACATGAGATTGACTTCATTGTTCTTGAGTCTGTGTCTTTACTGGCCAAAAAATAGCTTTGATGAAATCCATTCACTTAATATATTTAACCTCCTCTGGCAGCTGGCATGGAAAGATGAACAGCCTTTCTTACAATCAAGTATTGCCTCACATAATAGTACTTAGAGCTGCCATTGAACTTGGTGCTGTGAAAGAGGGGTATCACATGGTTTCATCTGATTATATATTGTTTTAAATTAAGTGTTAGAGACTACCAGTCAAGTATTCAGCAGGTAGGGAGTTTCTCAATGGAGGTTTTTTATGCCGCCTTAATTAAACTATTCCATAAATAGTAGCATGAAGCTTGATGCCATTCTCTAGAGGACCTCATCCTTAAGCTATATGCAGAATTGACTGTGCTGTGTGAATTGTGTAAGTCAGGAATGGAATTATCATCTGTAGGATATCAACTGCTTTTGCTCTCTATTTATGGGATTCCCTGCCGGGTTCATCACACCACTACCTTCTCTGAAAATAGATTTGTTTGTGACAAAGTTGAAATGGTATTATGAGAAAGCGACCTGGATGCCTGTGGTATGTTAGTGTATCTAGACGTTGTTTGAATGCTTAAGGAATTACTGGTGGTCAGTACTGTGAAATTCTCATTTGACCAAAATTGCTCTCTAGTTTGAGATTATATCTGCAATCAGTTAATTTGTATTCATTAGTTATCTCAACAGGGCAGACTAAAATTAATGTCTTGTCTTTCTCAGGGACCCCTATGATTCCTGTACCAATGGGCATTATGGCTCCTGCTCCAACTGTAAGTATTACAGTGGGGATGAGATTATAGCAAAATCAAATGGAGAATAAAACTTAGTAGATGTCAACAGTATTTTTGTTTTGCTCTGTTTCATCAGAATACTACTATGAAACAAAATGCTTCATTTTAAATGCAACTGTAATGCAAATTTTATGCTAATTTCTGACCTAGACAAAGTTTGAAGTAATGTCTGAAGCTGCTAACTGCAAAGGTGAAGCGATTGTTGTTCTTGCAAGAAGGTGTACTTCTCTCAAATACATTCGTTGAGGCTTCGCCTTTGGATCATGTGTGTACGTGCAGTACAGCTAAATCAGTGACGTTCCAGGTCTCTTGCCCTTGAGTTTGGTGCCCTAACATAGTACCCTGGGGGTATCACCTCATCCAGGTTTATAAGGCCATCACGCAGCACTGCTGAGTTGCCCAAAAGTATGTGCTTTGACAAGCTTACACATAAGCTTGCTTTCTCCTTGTTGCAGGGAAGGAATAATTGCATGTTATACTCATCTATGGAAGAGCATAGTGAAAGGTCTCCATGTGTCTTAGTAATTTCTAGTTGGGAGGTTTATGATTTTGGGGCGGAAAAAAGCACTCTTTAAAATTTGAAGGTTACTTCTTGGCTTCAAGGTAAATTACCGTTTCTGCAGTTTTGCAGAAGTGAAATCTCCCCAAAATACAGATTATTTTGGGGTGTTTTTTGATAGCTTGTATTATCTCCTACTGGAGGATATATTCATGCTAACCAGTCTATATAAGACAAGGATACTGGAACAAATGAATTATTTAGTTTTGTGAATAGAGTAATTTTTATTAAGTGACACTTCTAGAAGGATATTTTGAGAAGAGAGACTCAGTGCATATGTACCATTAAATCCTAGGGGAAAGGAGAGAAGTGCAGCAAAATGGAGCAGATGACATGCCTGTCTCTGTACAGTTATTTTACAGATGTTTGCTTCTTAACCCAAAGAGGTTTTGGGTAGAGTATTGATTAAATAAAGCAGTAGTGTTTATTCACTGTGTGAAAGCTTGAAGACCTGTACCATGTCCATTGAAGCCTTTGAGTCAGAACTACTTTTATATTTGTAGCTTGCTTTTTACACAGTTAGGTAAGGTAATTCAACTTCCCAGTGACTCAAATGTTGCAAATTAGTTATTTGTATAAGAAATAATACCTAACATTACTGTATGCTCATCTTGAGACCTTCCAGTAGCCATGTTCAGGTACACCTTTTGTTTTCTGTCTTTGCCAGAAAATGGCAATCTTTTTTTGTGTTGTTTAAAGTTTTAAGGCCGGAACTGCTTATTGGTGTCTTACTCTGTAAGCCTAACTAAGGTTCATATGAAAATTTAATTTTGAAATAAAGGTACATGCCCAAGTCTTTTGCCTTATGGATTTAAATAAAGAAACAAAGCAATCCAATGCTTTATTTTACAACCTTTTCTCCTCTTTTTAGGTATTAGTTCCTACCACAGTGTCCATGGTTGGAAAGCATTTGGGAGTCAGAAAAGACCATCCTGGCTTAAAGAACAAAGAAAATGATGAAAACTGTGGTCCCACTACCACTGTTTTTGTAGGCAACATTTCTGAGAAGGCCTCAGACATGCTCATACGGCAGCTTCTAGCAGTAAGTACAGTGGACTGCTTGTTATTCTGATGAATGAAGTAATGACCCTCAAGCAGTGTGTTGTATATGTACTAAAAGCAGAGCTATTCCCAGTCACTGGAATAGCAATCCACTATGCTCGAGTTGAAAGTCAGTAAGCGAAGAGTACAGATTTTTTATGCTGTAGATGTCTTTGAATATGGACCTTTTATATTTTTGGTAGTGTTTACCCTTTTTAATTTTGCCATATTTTGCAAAAAAACTTTTGTGATGTTTTGAATATAAAACAATATTTAATAATATTTATCTTTAATGCAGAAATGTGGCTTGGTTTTGAGTTGGAAGAGAGTGCAAGGGGCATCTGGAAAACTTCAAGGTAACTGTTCGTATTTTTCAAAATCTTTAGACAGACAGACTTGTGTTTTTACTACCTAGTGGCATTTTAAATATCTTGACACGTTGCTATCCTTAATAATTTTACATTTTAAGATACTGTGTATGATCGATAACTGCTAAATACTTTCTATTAGTGAACTAGTATTTTCTGGAATTGAGAGAGAATGAAAAAAATAAAATTGAGAAAGATTAAATGAGAAAATGTTGAGAGCCTAATTTTGCTCACCTTTCTGTTCTGAGACTAAATGAGGAGGTTGTAAACCATCCCTGAGGAAGGCTCGCCACTTTCGGCTTTGGAGGCTACTGTTGCAGCACTGTTACTAGTCACTTCCAATAATTTGTGTTGTCCCTCTCTCTTAAGGTTTTCCTGATGTAAAACTAACCTTCCCTCTTGTCAATTGATCTGATTTATTTTTTCTTGTGACCTTTCTCCAGTGGATACAGGAAACAATTTTGGTTACTGTTTTTTGCTGTTAGTGTTTTAATATCTTCCTAGGGGGTTTTATTTTCCTTTTAAGGGTGTAATTCAGTTCCTTCAGCTTTTTTTTAATATATCAAACTTAGTTTATTTTGCTCTCATAAAATGCTTTTCTGATTTAAAATTTTCTGTAATTGTTGTGAAAAACCTAGTTTGAAATACCTGTCCCTCTAGGTTAGCAATGAGCTGTTGATTAATGCCCTTGGTCTTCAGACAGTTGCAAATCCATCTAAAGTGCCTTATGTACATCATGTAAAATGCATTTCTGTGTCAAAGGACAATTGTCTTTGATGTACAAACACAATCATAGAATAGTTTGAGTTGGAAGGGACCTTTCAAAGTTCATCTAGTCCAACTCCCCTTCAATGAGCAAGAAGATCATCAACTACATCAGATTGCTCAGAGCCCCATCCAGCCTGACCTTGGAAGTTTCCAGGGATGAGGCATCTACAATGTGTGTATCGTTTTCACCTTATTTACTGCACCATTAGTTACATCAAAGATTAATGCAGTAAGTGAACTTTCTGAGTTTTTATGATGTGTACTCCTGGCTTTTAAAAAGGGAGTGCCTATGTTCCAAGTTTATTATTTCAAAACACTTTTTTTACACAGAGTAAATTACCTGAAGAGCTTTAACGCTTTTACTTTTCATTTTAATGATCCATTTCAGCCTTTGGATTTTGTGAGTACAAAGAACCAGATTCCACACTGCGAGCATTGAGACTACTCCATGACCTCCAGATTGGAGAGAAGAAGCTGCTAGTCAAAGTTGATGCAAAGACAAAGGCTCAGCTAGATGAATGGAAAGCAAAGAAAAAGGCATCTAATGGGGTATGTATATAAATGTGTGATTTGCATTCTTTTGGTGGGGTGTCAGTGTAACATACTAACTGGATCAGATTTCAGGCATGTTTCTTAGTTTCTGCTCTTGTCTCTGCCCTTAATACATTTTAGGATTTTGCCAGAATCACATTAATGAGTCTGAAGATATGTTGAAAGGCAGAGAAGTGTAAGCTCTTAATTCCACAGTATTCAGACTTATCTGTAAGCTACAACTGCATCTCTAGAATTATTTCTGAAGTTCCTTCCAAAGTGCTGTACCTTATGATTCCATTGCTTCATTTTTGTTTAGAAACTCTTGAAAGTGTATAAACTCTAGAAGTGGTTGTTACTGTGTCAGTCTGTAAATTGGATGTCTGAAGAGAATTGAAGTTTCTTTTCCCCTTCACCGATGATCTTATAGAACAAATCATCGAAAAGGAAAAGAAGTAGATCATTCAGTTGAGGATGCAGTTATCAGACAGCATGTTTCAGACATTTAGTAGATGGAGAAATTGCTTTTGTACCATTCCTTTTTAGAGCTAAGGATCTCTTTGGGAATAATTACAGATATTTGGTATTTTGAATTCTTGTAAGATACAAAGATAGTTAATTGACAAATTTGCATTAAAATTAATTATGTCTGTTTCTTTGCTAAAATAATACATTTCACACCACAATCAAGTTGTTGAGTTTGGTCTATAACAGTTTTAAAATTTTGCATGTGCCTTAAGATGGCTCTTAAAACAATTTCCGTAAAATGGAAGTGAGAAGAGGCTCTTGTTTAGAAAACTTAAAAACACTAATCACACTATAGCAGGTAAAGTTTTAAAATTCCAGTTTGGAATATTTCTTAAATGTGTGTAGAATATAGTGGAAACACAAGTACTTTTATTTCATGTTACTTAACCAGAACTAGAGGCATAATGATGACTTGAGGTGCTCGATGTATCTTTGACTGCTTACCCAGTGTGTGGGATTGAATGCAGTGGCTTAGAAAAGCAGAGCGTGAACTTCATGGGCTTTGAATGGAGTACCATACTAGCTGTTAGCCTGGGTCTGATTTGATTGCCCCTTTCATTCCATACTTCCTTGTTTCATGTTGGCATCACCTGTGATACTGTGCTTCACAGCTGATGTTGTAAACAAGCTTAAAATATCTGTGGAGTTCTTGTACATCTCCTTGGAATTTTGTTTTCTGTGGGCCCCCCTGTGGGTTACAGTCAGTTCTGGGGGATTGATTGTAATGAAGTGGAGGGTACTGTTTATGGCTTTTCTGAAGACAATGGTATGAACCCATTCTGTTGAACTGTAGAATGAGATTAGCTCCATGTTTTTTGTTAGATTTTGTTCAGGTTTTTGCGCTTTTTTTTTTTTTGTGGTGGTGCAAAGAAAGTCTGTGAATTGCTGAGGAATACTGATGAAGTGTATTGTAATTGAACTGCTTGCAATACCTGCTTCATACCATACCATCATTACTGTGCTGGTGCCACTTGGATCCAAAAGTTTCAACTTTTTTCTTTAGTATTTTTAATCAAGAAATCAAACATGTACACTACAACACAATTTCATGTAGACACACACCAAGCAAACCTTTATCTAATTAGCTCCTCTCCCTGATCACTTCTTCTCCCTGGACCTCTTCAATTCCACTCCCTGTCACTGCCTTCTAGCTCTTTTCAGCCTGCTTCTCCTTGGCCTTGCAGCTTCTTCAGCTCCAACTGAATCCTCCCTTCCCCCTCATTCTTAGCTGCTGCTCCATCAGACCCTTCCCTCCCCCTCACTCCACCCACCACCTATCGCTTGACGGGATACGCAGCTGGATTCTCAGGTGAGATTCCATTTTTCTAAAAGATTCAGGGGATCAAGAGGTTACCTTGCTCAGTGTGCAGATCATCGTTCTACCATTTCATGTAACGTTTAGTGAAAGGCACTTCTTTGTGTTCCTTTTCCTCCCTGCAAGGTTGAAAGGGGCAAAAAGATGAGGAACTGCAAAGTACTTGATCAACAGTAATTTAAAGAAAGAGTTTGCTGTGCAAGGAATGTTTTCCCTAATGATGTTTCTTTAATGTAGTTCTGTTATAGGTTGTAGCTTGAAAGTTGTAGGTAGGCATTTGTATTGCATGGCACTGAAGTAGAAGGCTTTGAGGAACTGCTGTTGAAATGACACTGGAGTTCTGGAATATACAAGGCAAAACTTTTGATCAAGAGCTGCAACTATAGTGATTGCCTTTCTGGGAGTGTGCGTGCGCTCACTCTTTTCCTGTCTATTGCCTTAATCACCATTTTTCTGTTCCGTTTTATTACGCGATCCTACACTCGCTCTCTGCAGCCATTCCACATGTAACACTGTGTGGTAAATATGGTATTGCCAGTGTGAAAAGATCTGACTGAAATTATGCAGTTGATAACTACTTGTAGGTGGTTTGATTTTCGTGTGGTGGTTTGTTTGGGGTTGTTTGTCTTTTTTTGGTTTGGGATTTTGTTTTTTTATAGTAAATACTGTAGGGGCATGAATGTTGATGATCAAAGGTGAACTTCTGATAAAACTACTTTTATTCTTAGTTTCTTGATTCCTGTTACTTTGCCATTTTTCCTTAGAACTCCAGACCAGAGACGACAAATGACGATGATGAAGCACTGGATGAGGAAACAAAGAGAAGAGATCAGATAATTAAAGGGGCCATTGAAGTCTTAATACGAGAATATTCCAGCGAGCTCAATGCCCCCTCCCAGGAATCTGACTCTCACCCCAGGAAGAAGAAAAAGGAAAAGAAGGAGGACGTATGTGTTTTGATTTTGGACAAAACAGATTTTTTTTCTTCAACTCACCTTTATATAATGGCCAAACCTTGTGCAAATACTTTAAACCTAAACTTCTGATGAGAAAACACATCAACAACCATTGATGTCAGCAGCGGTTTTTTGGTTTTGGTTTTTTTTTGAGCTGAAAGCTAGTCAGTTATAGACACCATCCACTCAGGATGGTTTAGGCATCTAAGCACCTAGACTTCTTGGAACAACAGGTTTGAATCTGGGCAGGACTGAACCAACCTTTCATCCCTCTGAAGGTGGAAATACTGAATTTAGTGCAGTTTAATCTGTATGTGCATGTAGACGTTCAGATGAGAACTTAAAAAACAACTGTAAAGAGTTTCTGCATACCATCCATTTCCAATGAAAGATGCCAGGAATTTGGTAGTTTTTGACAAAATTCTTCTCTCTGCTTATATAGTATGCATTCTTGTAGTGTGCCTTGATCCAGCTGGTTGCAACTGTCTACCCAGGTGTGGAAGCACTTCATTAGTTGTATATGTGTATACCTTACAAACCTTGAAGGGATCCTTCAGGGATGAAAGGCACATTTTAGTCTTCCTGCCTTACAAAATCACACATCTCAATTTGGCTGCATTTGATCAGCTGGCTTTCATATCTTGTGCAATGCAAAAAAAACCATGTTAAGCAGGAATGAATGTTCTGGTTTAGACCTGCCTCTGTCAATGACCTTTTTATGGATTAAAACAAACTGGAGAAGGGGGAACAAGAATAAGCAAACTCAGACTTAGCTTTTCCAGCAAAGTTTCTAACCATGGGAAAATGGGCTTTCACACCTACCATTTGGCACCTAATGTGAAAGAGATTGGAAAATGGTTTGACCAAGATTTTTACACATTTCGGTCTTCTGCAAAGTACCTATTCCAAGGCAATAAAGCAGTAATGCTTATGGAGTTTAAGCATGGTGTAAGAAGTAACATCTCCCACAGAGAGCAAGTATATCTTCCCACAACATTGTTAGTCATGGCCAACCTGAGGTATAAAAGTGCTGAGCTGAGAATTTGTTTTTCTTTCCTCTCCCTCCCTTTGGGAGAAGATGGTTTCTTGGATGAGAATTTGCAAATGAGTAATGAGTCATTGTTTAATGCTATCAGCTGTATTTTTTTGTTACAAGCACTGTTACAATGTCTGTTTTCCTGTGGGTAAATATATATATATGGCCATGAATAATGCCAGGCAGTTAAACATTGTAAGGGACCATTGCAGTCGTTGAAGAGCTGGATGCTGACTATGTCCCTGGGACAGAGTGATATTCTAGCTCTGTGTTGTGTAGAATTTTACCAATCTGAGCTAGTCAAGTAGGCAAATAAGTTCTTTTAAAATACACAGCACTTGTGGGTTGAAATGCATCCCATCATACCTCCCACATTGGGAAGGAGGAAAAGAAACTTGGAAATTGCCATCTTTGGCCTGTGTGGATAGAGGTGGGAGTGAAGAGACGGTACTAGCTTGTTGCTCTTGTCTTTAAAGGAGAGTGGAGAGAAAGACTGTTGAGGGTGGGGGGGAAAGGGAAGATGGATGCAGATATATTGGGGGGGCAGAGGGAGGGTGTGGAAACTTGCCAACCTTGGGGCTGTTGTCCCCTGAAGAGCTTGGCATGGAGAAGATTGTGCTATCAATCCGCTGGTGTTAGCAGCAGAGGCTGTTAGTTCTCCTGGATGAAGGCATGACTGATGTGGGGGAGTTGAAAATGTGTGTGGGGAACTGAGAGTGAGTGGAATCTGGTTTTCAATTTCAAGCACGGGGGAACCTCGCTAATTCGCACTAATTATAAGTTAGCAGGTGCAATCTACCAAATTTTGCGAATTAGCGAGTAAATAAAATCAAGATATGCAACATTTATTTTGGCAAGTGTAGCTTAGCCTTGTTTATGATGCTACCATAGCGTACTAATAACCTGTAGTACACTTGTAATTCAGTGAAGTCTTACTAACATGAGACATCACTATGTGTTTTAAAGTAGTTCAGCAAAGGGAGAATTAGCGAGGTTCTTCTGTAACTTTGTTGAATCAAAGAAATGAGATCACAGCAATACAATATTGCTTTGTAGTACAAACATACAAAACATTGTTTTTCAGAGTAGTGTGCAATCTATTTTTAAAAAAAAAAATCTCCGTGGATTTTTCCGCAGATTTTCCGCAGATTTCCAGTGGCCCCACTGATACCTTATCCACTCATCACCAAGGTTCGTTTACATTGTAGGCTTTGACAATGACTATGTTTACTGCTAGTTGCCAGATTTGTGACTCTTGTCCATCTGATTTTTTTTTTTTTTTTCACTCATTAACATCAGACTGTCAGGTTTGGTACTGCAGAAGGACTTTATTTATCTCTTGCAAGACTGGTTGAAAACTTCTAACCTGCGGCTTTTCTCTTTTTCTCCTGTGTCTGTACAGATGGCTCTTAATGCTTTTACTCCTGTCCCCCTTGTTTTTTAGGAGGATATAAATGCTATAGAAATGGAGGAAGACAAAAGAGACCTGATATCAAGAGAGATCAGTAAATTCAGAGATACACACAAGGTAGTATTCTTGTTTTTGCACTTGATAAAAATTAGGCTTTTTCAAAATCCAAAAAACCACTATTATAAAATTTAGCAGTACATTGCATTATCACTTAAAATGATGTTTATATTAGGTTTAATATACATATAGTTCTTTACAAGTCAAAAAAAGACAACTGCCACGTTAAAGTGGCCCTTGACATCTTTATGCTAAGACTTTGATTGCTACTGAGTATTTTGCAGTCTTCTCACTTTACCATGACTAAAGGCAGCTTAAGTTGCTACACATACATTAAGTCAAGATATTTATAACTAAGGCTAAACGGGGCTGCAGCGTAAGACATACACTTGAGTGTGTTTCTGTAGGTAGATTTGTAACATTATCCAAGATTTTATGAAGAGTTGAAACTTGAATTAAATTTAAGTCTTTTATTTTAATAGTTCTAAGTTAAGAGTGGGGGAAGATAAAAATAGGTCAGTGGTTACCAGACTTACCAAACTTTAGATGCATGGAAGAACTGTAAATTCCCATAAAGCTAATCTATTCATTGACCCCCACCATTATGATAGAGATCATATGGTGACTAATGCAAGATGAAACTCACAGCTTGGAAAGTAACATGGAATAGGATGTAAGTATGAGCTTCTGTTTTTTATTATACTTATGGATGCCCCCTCAGAAAAATATGCAAAGGGGTAACTGGCTTGGAAATGTTTGTGCACATCAAGTCCCACCTCAGGGTTCCCACTTACAGAAGTTTCCACTAATGCTAGTGCATCTGTGAATGTTTCTGCTTTGGAAGGTGATACTTGCGGATAGTAAAGTGCAACTATGCATGTAACGTTCTTATTTTAATGTTTAGCTTAAAGTTGGTATTAATTTTTCCCCAACAAGATTGGAATGGTCCTTGGCCTAGAGAAGTATCAGCAAGCTCCTCTTTTGAGCACACACTTTTCTTTCAAAATACCCCCAAATCAACATTAAAGAAAAGGTGAAGTATGCCCGTGTTATTTAGCTTTACCACATGCAATCACTGGGGTTGGTATCATGTTTTCACACAACTGTATCAATATAAACACAGGTGACTACGTGTTATTGTAAGTACACATATTGAGTTTTGCTCTTGACTGAAGTTGTTGAAGATAAAAACCTGGGGAAAAATTCCAGAAAAAAATCATCTGGAGAAGCTCAGCAATTGAATGTGAAACTGGTCAGTGGTGAAACTTCAGTAGAATTATGTTCAGTTCCCAGCCCCAAGTTGTCACTGATACTAAGATACAAAAAAGTAATAATTTTTTAAAAAAAAATTACAAACAAAACAAACAAAAACCAAGCTTCATTGTTTCAGAAGCTGTTGGGCATTTTACTGCCTTTAATCTATTATTTGGGGGGCTGTTTTGGGTTTCTTAACATTACAAATCAACTGGAAGTAGTCATTGTATATATTGGATATGTTTAAAGGGGCTGTTGAATCCTTAGCAGCTGGCTAGTGAGCACAGTGAACCTTTGCATGTTTTTGGTATGAGTTTATAAAACAATAACGACAGACTGTCAGGGTGTCAGCATTGCAGGGGGCGTCCATTTACAGCACGGACGAGTCTGAAGAGAGCTCAAGGTAAGATTTATAATTCTTCTACCTGTTCATTTCTGTTCATTACTTCAATTTATCTGATACTGTTCCCATCCCATTACCCTTTCAGATCCTTTTATTTAGGCTTACAGAATTTAAAGGAGGTCAGATTTTGATTACAAAACAGACCAGTTGATTTTTTTTGATTGGATTTTAAGAAAGTGGACTTAGAAAATGGATCTTAACGTATCAAAATTTGTTTATGTGTATTTACACTTGTGTGAATATATTTAAAAAAAAAAAAAGAAAGAAATCCACTCTCTTGAGAAATGTCATCACAAACAAAGTTTTTGAGAGTGGCAAAACAGGAGTTCAACCAAAGATAACCTGTAAGTATCAACCACTTCAGTATGTAAAGTTTTCTTTAAAAGTATATGAAATTTGAGGTAAGTTGGATTTTTAAAAGTTGACAACCTAGCTTAATATCTGACCGTACTGAGGTTTAACACTGTAAAGCAGTACTGAGGTTTAACACTGAAAATGCAGTCCTTAGAAATTAGTTTTCAGATTAGTGTATATTTCAGGATCTAAGTTTGACTTTTTTTCACATCAGTTTCCTACCAATTCCTGCCATTTTTAGTCCCTTTTTCCTTTTGTGATTTCAATGTATCCAACATCGGTTTGCCTGTATTGTGCTATCAATGCAGCATAGTTTCACTGGATACATTAATCACTAGTGAATTAGCTTTATTTATGTAATCCTTTGTCGGTTCTCTGGTCCCTGTGCCCATGGCAGAAGAACACTAATCAGGTAAGATTGCTTTTTAAAGTTGTCTTAAATGCTTTGTTTAAAAGAAAAGAAAAAAACAGAAACCAGAGAAAATGCTGTTTCATTGTTACAGTTTTTAATTTCATTTCAGTGATGGTAAACGTGGAGCCAAAGGGGATAAACGTGTTTATTCTGCTCAATATTTGTTCAAAAAGTGGTATTCTGGCATCCATCAGGTTGAAATTTGGTATATTTGGTTGTTATTTGGTATATTTGTGAACCGTGTACTTGCTCTTCCTCCCAGAAACATAGCTAATAGGCAAGGTTAATCCAGTGTTGGCGGCCCATGTCCTAGCACAGCATCTGTAAGTTAACACATAACAATTGCTTCCAAGGATGGATTTATCTATCATTCTGTTGATGTATTTTCTAATGTCTTATAGGAATTCTGGTCACAAGTACTGTATCTAATTGAAAAAAGGGGGCAATTTTGTACAGTTTTTAGTAAAACTGTAGCAGGTAACCTTTAGTTCCTGTGTTTCAAAAGAGCTATTTCCAACCTTTTGTTAACTGTCTCCGTCTTGCAGTGGCGGAAGTTAAGAATTCCATTCTGCAGAGTCCAGTTCTTACCAATGAACAGTTAGAACTTTTTTAGGGAGGGAAAAGGGGAAAGGTGTCAGTTTTCTTTACTGTTTAACCACATGCACCACATGTAAGTGGATGTATTTCTTTACCCAAGTTTTCATATAGGATGGTTTTGGTCTGCCAAGACTTTTTGGGAAACAACTCACTGTCCCAGTAAGCATTCCACTGAAATATATTGTCCTAGATGGACAGTTAATTTTATCAGCTAGAAGTTCACTTACTTGTACCTATGTGGCTTAGAGGGCAAATGGAATTTGAATCCCACCTGAATGATGACTGTGTATGTGCACTTTAGTCAGCTTATAATCCAAGGCCAGCCCTACTCTGCTAAGGTTGGAGATTGCTGGTCCGTGTAGATCTATGCTTTTGCACGAAACTTAGTCTTGTGATTGCTGCATTTTGATTTCATACTTATGAGTTCCAAAAAATTCCCACCAAACCCTATTTAATATTTCAAAATTAGTGGCGGTTTTGGTATTTCCATTACCAGCCTTGTGTGTTGCGCCGGGAATATCCAGTTCCTGTAACTGCAAAATTAACTATGAAAGTTCTCTTGTTGGTTTTTAGAAACTGGAGGAGGAAAAAGGCAAAAAGGAGAAAGAAAGACAGGAAATTGAAAAAGAACGCAGAGAAAGAGAAAGGGAGCGGGAGCGTGAACGAGAAAGGAGGGAGCGTGAAAGAGAGAGGGAGCGTGAACGAGAGAAGGAGAAGGAACGGGAGCGTGAACGGGAGCGGGATAGGGATCGTGACCGAACTAAGGACCGGGACAGAGACCGTGAACGAGACAGAGATCGTGACAGAGATCGTGAAAGGAGTTCAGATCGCAAGGATCGGAGCAGATCAAGGTAAATGTATCTGGATTGCTGCTCATTTCAGTTTTTCCTGGTGATGTTTACTAAATGCATATAGTTCAGCAGATCAGCTGCCATTCAAAAGAGAATGGTCCTTGTGGAAGATCAGAGTAACAATAGGAAATTAAAATTTTGGAAAGTGTTGTATTTATACAAATTGGGAGAATACTTTATTCCCTCCACAGCACAAGAGTATAAGGACTGCAATATGCAGTAAGCAACCCCCAAACCATGGCTTAAAGATACTGGTTTTATCTCAAATCTCTCTTATTTTTCATTATTAGCTTTATTCCTACTTAAGGTTGTCTTACATCTGTTGTATGCTTTAGCTTAAGTGGGTTTTACTTTTTCCTTTGTTATTTGGTGGGGTTTTTTGGTTGGTTGGTTGCCTTGGGGATTTTTTGCGGGTTTTTTTGTTTGTTTTGTGGATTTTTTAGTAAAAACATGGGGACTACTCGGTCTCAAACTGACTAATCATGTCATACTCTGAGTGCTGCTTTTTCTCTCTTCGCCATAGAGAAAATAGCTGTTTCACTTCAAATCATCTAGTCAGTAGCATTAAAATTGCCTGTAAGCCACGTAAACATGAAAGATTTATTAAGGATACCCTTTATTTGTGGTGGTTTTAACTTGTTTATAGAGAACTACTACCAGAGTCTGATAAGAAATTGCCACATGCTTATGCTTGGTTTCTGTAGATATCGTTTTTTTAATGGTTAGTGCTCAAACAACTACTTATAGGTAAATGGGTTTTTGAATACGTTAGTAGTATTGATTTATGCCTATTGCTATACCAACTAATCATCTTGTAAATTGCAGAAGAAAAATAACCTGTAAGATGTTGTAAATCATTTGATTGAGTGGAGAGGAATGCTCTGTACTTAACTTGGCGGTTTTTCCTTCCTTCAGAGAAAAAAGCAGAGACAGGGAAAGAGAAAGAGAACGCGAGAGGGAAAGAGAACGGGAGCGAGAACGGGAAAGAGAAAGAGAGCGGGAACGGGAAAGAGAACGAGAGCGGGAACGAGAGCGGGAAAAGGATAAGAAGAGAGACCGAGAGGAAGATGAAGAAGATGCCTACGAACGACGAAAACTAGAGAGGAAACTGCGTGAAAAAGAAGCTGCATATCAGGAGGTAGATTGGGATTTTTAAGGTTCTTTAAATAAAATAATGTTTCTGAGAGTTGATATTAAGTCTACTATAAAACACATAGTTCCTTCTCCTAAAAAAGCTTTTGATCTTTGAGTACGTGAATTGGGGCAGAATATGTAAGTCACTGTCAAAATAACTTTTGACTTCTTATTCTGATGTTTTAAAATAAAATTTTGCAAATTCTTTACAATGCAGTTGTTTTAAACAACAATCCAGACTAACTCTGAAGTAGTACTACTGTTCTTAATGTTCTTGAGATTTGAGTGTGTGTATTTCCTTCTGTTGTAGCGTCTTAAAAACTGGGAAATCAGAGAACGAAAAAAAAGTCGAGAATATGAAAAAGAGGCTGAAAGGGAAGAAGAAAGACGAAGGGAAATGGTAAGGTTCATAGTTTTATATATCATTTTTCCTGCTTTGTTTTCTTGGTCTCATTTAGAATGGAACATTGTACTACTGTTTATCAACAGTAGTAGAACTCTCATTTTGTGAGAAGACCATGTGTGTTTCTATACAAAAACCCCACACTTAATAGACTTGAAACAGAAGATGTCTAATAAGTGTGAGTACTATTTAGAGTCTGGAAACAAAGCCTAGTGGCTTGGTCTTGTGAAGGCAGGAGTGAGAAGTGGGCAGCTGCAAAATACGGTGGTCTGATCATCATGAACTATTACATCAGTAACTTGTATTTGCATCAGATTTGTGGCAAAACTTACTGTATGTTTTCCATCATGCAGGTGGGACTAGGCTTGGTTTTTAATTTCCAACCTGGTTATGTGCCCAAACATTCTTTCTGTGAGATATGATTTTAAGTTATAGGGGTGTTGTTTCCCTTCATAATTTTCCCAGAGGAGGAGAGGAGATATTGAGAGAGTTCTAAGTAGACGATGGGTTAGGAATTGCTTCAAAGCCAAATATGTAAAGAAACATGCAGGGGTGAGGGGATTATAAAATACACTGTTTCATGTGGAATCTGAGTTTTCCTTCTAAATGCATAAGGGGGAAAAATGTTTGAGAATGACTCAAGGATATTTTCTATTCATAATCCTCCTGGATGCTGGCTATGGATGGCAGCTGTAGAAAGCAGTATTAAATTCTGTGCTGAATTTACAACCATAATCGTAATTGGTTTCTCAAAGTCATCAGCATAGCAATATCTTACTGTTGGTTTAAAGATATTGCTTAGATACAGGTTAGAATGTCCTAATTTAGATTTCTCTTTTGATATGATCAGAGGGAGAAAAAATGTCTCCTCTCTATGCCCCTTGCCCTCTTCAATTTTAGGCCTGTACATTATAATAATGCCACGTGGTTTGGATTAGGAACAGGAGAGTGCTTATTCTAGAAGCAGCCATCTGATTTGTTTCTGTGCATAACTAAATCTTTTTTAAAAAGCTCTTGAAACACAGCAGTACTGATAAAATACACTTAAGATGCCATTAGAAAATACCTAGTACTTGATTTATGGATTTGGAGAACAGGAACTTTTTATCCTCTTCATCTGGAATGAAAAAAACCAAACCAACAAACAAACAAAAAAACACATGTGTGTATGTATATGTGTGTATGCATATATATGCATATCAGTGACACAATCCTAGTGAACCTGATGGAGGCAATTCTAAAACTTTTCCATTTTCTCTTTGAAAAACTCTGTATTTTTAGTTAAGTGCAGTAGATCTACAATTAACTTACTAATAATATTACTAAATTTTAAATTCTTGGAAAGGAAACCAGAAATCATTACTTAAGTTTCAATTCCTTGCAGACAAAGGAAGCTAAACGGTTAAAAGAATTCTTAGAAGATTATGATGATGACAGAGATGATCCAAAGTACTACAGGTATGTCTTTGTATTGATTCCTAACAATTAAGTCTTCATTGTTCATTTCAACATAATTGTGGGGTTTGTTGGCAGAGGCTTATGGAGTTTATATTTAACTGATTATGTGGCACTGTAAGGGTTATAATGATCTAAATTTTTTCAGTGTCACTTGACAGAAGGAAAAGGGAAACTCCTTACTGCTACTTGTTAATGCTTGGGAGTAGCTGTGGGTGAGGCAGGGTAGAGGTCAGTGAAATGTCAAAATAAGGTGGTGGGGGCAGGGAGAAGGGAACAAGCATGCCTCTAAATAATTCACTATAAGGAAGCTGTAAATAGTATGAAGAACAAGCTTGTTAATGGTAAAGCATTGAAAACATCCTCCAGCATGTGACTAACATTTGCATTAAACTAATTTAGCAGAAGTGGTTCTTGTCAAAAACCTATAAAATAATTTGATTCTTTCTCTAAAAAGATCAGCAGCCACATTCTACATCTGTTTGATGTGATGGAGTAGGTTCAGTATAGTAAGGTTGATACCTGGTATCTTATATTTTTCTGTTACAAAAATAGAGGACACCAGTGCTCTTATGAATCTTATTTTCATTTAGTGGAAGATACATCTGTATGAAGTTTTTCTTGTATTGTGGTACAAGGTTCTCATTGAAATGATCTTTGAAGTACAAAATGTGTATCTCTTGTAGGGGTAGTGCTCTTCAGAAGAGGCTACGAGACAGGGAGAAAGAGATGGAAGCAGATGAACGGGATAGGAAAAGGGAAAAGGAAGAATTAGAAGAAATTAGGCAGCGTCTTCTGGCAGAAGGACACCCAGATCCAGATGCAGAACTCCAGAGGGTGAGTAGCTGTTGGTCTGATAGGAAAAAAAGAGTCCTTGGTATTCTGGTTGCATTGAGCAAAATTGTGTAAGCGATCTGATATTTACTATTTCCTCTGTTCACTTTTTCTTAAAAAGAAGCCTTGATGAGCAGTAAGAACAATGAAAAAAAAAAACAAACCACACTTTCCAGATTAATATCCAGATTGGATGGAGTTGGAAAACAAATCTGAATTAATCACTATTTCTTATAATAACACCAGTAGTTGCATGTATTTCTTGACTAACAGTCTTCTAAAGAGGTGGATCTTTAGATTCTTTTCAAACAGTGCTGGTTTTGAGAGAGCTATTTTGCTGATTGTTTCTTTCATTGTAGATGGAGCAGGAAGCTGAGCGGCGCAGGCAGCCACAAATTAAACAAGAGCCAGAGTCTGAGGAGGAAGAGGAAGACAAGGCAGAAAAAGAGGAAAAGAGAGAAGAGCCAGAGGAAGAGGAGGAGGAGCCTGAACAAAAGCCCTGCCTTAAACCAACATTACGACCCATCAGTTCTGCTCCATCTGTTTCTTCTGCTAGTGGAAATGCAACCCCTAACACACCTGGTGATGAATCTCCCTGTGGCATTATTATCCCTCATGAAAATTCACCTGAACAACAGCAGCTGGAGGAGCATCGGCCCAAAATAGGACTTAGCCTCAAACTGGGCAAGTTTACATTTTATTTCAATCTTTCATATGGGATCAAAGTGAAAAAAAAAAGCCAAGCTGAGTAACCACATGGCTTTCCAAATGTTTTGATGTGCTTAAAATTTTTAGGAATGTTCTGAGCTGGGATTGGTTATTTTCACATGCTTTTTCACCTTAATATATCTATAAATATCTCTTTTAAAACTCATTGCTTCTTTTCATTGGTGTAAGTATATGTTAAATTTAAGACCTAGATAGTTCTTATATTTACTTTAAAAGGCCCTTTTAAAGAAAAATAAAATTAGATTTTTTTTTCTTCCTCTTAGAGTATCACAATGAATGGATGACAACTGTGAGTGGAACTTGAGCATATAGTTCCTTAGTACTTTAGCAATTTCTGGGTTTTCTGAAAAATTTAGTTCTGAGCAGCAGAACTAAAGACATTTGTATTCTAGAAGGTTTGTGATTTATTATTTACTATTTCAATTATACGAGGCTGCAGTTTGAGCTCACACTGTGTTAGATCTTCAATGAAGAGAGGCTCTATGGTATTAGGCTGATTAGCGCTTTTCCTACAGCAGGATTCATTGCAGCCTTTCACTTTTGTACTCTGCTTCTGCTAAGGTTGGAACTCGGCTTTAGCCTTCCTTTCACTTAGAGTGCTACTTAGTTTCAGGGTAGAGAAAAAGATCCTATTTTTCAAAAATCTTGAACAAACTCCATCTGAGATTTTTACCTCTTTTGCCACTTGTTATAACAGAGTTTGAGAGATTAAAAGCCGATGCCAGGCATTCACAGGCATTTATATAACATACAAACCAACATTCCTCAAGAAATGTGTGAAGAGCAAACTAGTTTCAGTTGAAGTTCATGAATATGTTATTCTGTCTTTTGGGTTCTAGGTGCCTGCAATAGTCCTAATCAGCCCAATGCTGTAAAAAGGAAGAAGCTTGCTGTGGATAGTGTTTTCAATAAATTTGATGATGAAGACAGTGATGATGTGCCCCGCAAAAGGAAACTTGTCCCCCTGGATTATGGAGATGAAGATAAAAGCAATATCAAAGGCAGTGTCAATACAGAAGAAAAACGCAAACATATTAAGAGTCTCATTGAGAAGATTCCCACAGCAAAACCAGAGCTCTTTGCTTATCCTCTTGATTGGTCAATTGTGGATTCAGTAAGTTGATTTCATTTAACCATTTACAAAAAGGCTTAATTTTTCCAAACCTTTAAATTGAATAGAAAAACAGTGTTACTGGGACCCCGGTGGATTGGAGCATTACCATCAAATGGAGTCAAACTTGAGTCCTCTATTTCTTGTTCATATATAATCCTTATTCTGAAGTATGCCTGCTTATTTTTGTTTGGTCTCTTTTGAATCGCTGCTACATATTGTCTAGCAGTTTTATGGAAGAGGGAAAAAACTTGTCCTGTAAAAACATGTTTGAGTGGATGTCCGAAATACTTGCAGATGCCAAATCTCTGAGGGTTGTCTCACTGACAGCAGCAATATGTATCTTTTGCTAAATAGTTGTTTGAGTCTTCTAACTGCCTATCTGGCAGTTGTTACAAGACAGTGAAGTTTAAGGTAATTATTCATTTTGAGTTTGTGTTTTTCTTTTTCCAGACATTAATGGAACGTCGAATTAGACCATGGATCAACAAAAAAATAATAGAATATATTGGTGAAGAAGAAGCCACGCTAGTTGACTTTGTTTGTTCTAAGGTTAGTATCTTCTGCTTCCTTTGTGAAGTCTGGGGTTTGCTCCCTATTTAAACTGCACCAGTGACTGCTGTACCTGTGTTTGGAGGCAGTTTGTTCTTAGCTTCACAGTAATCTGTGATATTGGTCAGCAGAGACAGTGAACTTGGAATCAGTACCCTGATGTTTTACAATTTAACCTCTGTTAGTGCTTATGCACAATATGTACATGTTAGATGCTATGTTAGATAAACATGGAACTAGAGAAAGAAATAACCAGTTGTCAAGAACAGCTGTTATAACTGATAGTTTTACTATTAGATTTCAGACTTAATATCTCACTTGCCAGTAACATTTTTTAACTTAGAAATAGGCTTTGTGTGAATGTAGGGGGAAAAGAGCTAGTAGTTTGATTTTTACATATGTTTCTGGATTAACTAGATGAATTTCTTAAAAAGTTGTTCCTTTAGTAGTAAGCAAATACTAAGGTTTTAGAGTTAGCATTAGAAATCATTCTAACGCTAATCATTTTAACCATTTGCATGACTTGTTGCAACTAAAGTCTGTGGAGCTTCTTCCATCAAATTACAAACTGAATTCTTACAACTTGCCTTTTTATTGTCTCTCAGGACAACTCTATGGCTTTTTATTAGGGAATTTGAAAACTGTTCAGGTTCATGGTACTCATGTTCATAATGGCTTGTCTCGGTTTATCTTTTAGGGCTACTCTGTGAGAAGCAAAGCAAGTGTGATGGTTTTGTGATACAGTTGATTAGTACAAAGTGAAAAGCAGAAGTTGAATATTTGCCATGCTTATATTAGATATATGTGTATATATGTATATATATATAAATAAATGAAATTTTATAGTATTGAAAGACAACTTATTTGGTTCTGAAAAAGATTTTAAATACTTAGCTGGATTTTGCATCTACCTGTTATGAGGATTGATACAGGGAGAATTTTACCTTTACCTTCCATTACGAATTTATTGTTGAAAGAAAGGGGAGCTTCTTCCTTGAATTAAGAAAGCTTAGTTGGAGATACAAAAATAGCCAGCAAATACCTGTGAATCTCAGGAGCTTCCTGAAACTTGTTCTTTAGTAATCGACCATAAACTTGCACTCACTATGATGGACTCTGATGCAGTTTAATACTAATTTTTGCCTTGGCTAATACTGGGACCTAATGAACTGCAAATACTTAGCGCATGTGCATAACAGTCAGAATCCAGACATAACTGGATTTTGTCCAAATATGTTTATAGGGTTTATTCTAAGTTTTCAGTCTAAAAACATTTGTTTCTTTCAGGTTATGGCTCACAGCTCACCACAGAGCATACTGGATGATGTTGCCATGGTAAGCAGAAATTGTGTAACTGATATGCCTTCTACATTTTACTGAAGCTAATAGTCAGTTATACAAAATGGCAGGAGTGCATAACTGAAATACTTGGTGTTCATAGAACATGGACAGAAAACACACATTAGATATGAAAACTGTTTTGATTAAAAAGATCGTGCTAGTGCAGGCATTATTTTGTGGTTACAGCACCTAGGTACAAACTACTGACCCCTGTTCAGAATTTCTCAGTATTCGGAAACATAGAACAAAAATTTTGTCCCAAAGATGTAAGAATCAATAATAACAGACCTGTACCAGAAATCCCACTTCTTCCTCCTTCTCATTCTTGTAACTAGATTTTTATTAGTGGTTTAGTGGGTCTTTTACTAATTAATGAGCAAAAGAGAGAATTTTCTCTAGAAGAGTAAAAGCTCTTTTTTGCCTGGTGTTGGAAAAGAGAAACTTTATGAAATAGTGCTACTGTTTCACCATATTTTATACACTGACAGGTGAATAAAAACTAATTGTCCACTCTTTTTTGGTAGGAGCCACATGCAAAGTAGAAGTTAGTAGATGGTTCTTGGTGTGACTAGTGAGGGACCTGAGGAACTTCCCAAGCGATGTTATGCATGCTAAAAGTTTGTATGGATTCAAGAAGAGCCTGAATAATGAGTTCAGAAAGAGAAATTCATTGAGAGTTTACTTAATAAATATCCAAGGAAGTTCCAAGCTGAAAATGAGCAGAAACTAGCAGATAATTAAGGGAAAATACCGCATGTCAATGTGTTGTTCTTATATTCTTTCCAAGCCCGCCATTTCTATGCCTCTTCCCAAACCACTTTTGGAGACTAGTTTACTGATACTTTTATTTCTTAGTGCTCAACAGCTGTATTATACAAGTATATAATTAGTGATAAATGCAGGACAGAAGTTTTGTTCAGTCCCTCCCTCAAAGACTTAACTTGTATTATGTTACCTCCACTTTGTAGTGCTGATGTATCTACAATTAGTCTTTATAAGTGGAATGCCTAACCTAAAAGTAATCTATAAAATGTGTATTTCCTACAGGTACTAGATGAAGAAGCTGAAGTTTTCATAGTCAAAATGTGGAGGTTGTTGATATACGAGACAGAAGCAAAGAAGATTGGCCTAGTGAAATAAAGCACTCTCCTTGCTTCTAGGGCTCCATTTCAGTTTTAGGCTTTTTTTTCCCGATCATTCAAAGACTCTGAATTTTCTCTGTTCTCAGAGACTTGAGACCTGTATTTTTTTATGTAGAAAATGTGAATTTTTTTTGTCCTCTGCTCTGAGGCCTCTTTCACCTTCACAATTAGTTATCTGAATCCTGCATTTGGTTCTCTTTATAATACACAAGGTACAATTACCAGTATGTTTTATAAGCTGCAGCTACTGTACATGCTCTTTGGTAATTTTGTTATGTTACTCTTATTCTTGTAAATATTAAGAAAAAAATTCCCCTGTTTTGCAAAACATTTGCACTTAATGTGGAACTATATCACTGATAGGTGAAGACAAAGGATTTTACTGCAAGTGCTTTTTGGGGGGGGCATACTTTCCCTCTTTTTATTTAAAAATCATCAAAATAAGATTTAAAAATAAGTGGCTTGAGCTGTTTTCACAGAACAGCTTTGTGTGTTCATGTGGATTCTTCATCTGACTCTGGAAAAGGAGTTCCTTCAGATTTTTCATTCTGATGTGAACCAGTGGTAGTCTTGGTACTTTGTTCCCCATTTAGAATTACTAGTGAAGCTGGGAAGTTAAATCTCTTGCAGATGCTCTGCTTCTTTCCCAGAAAGTGCAAATGGCAGGAAGTTTTTTATTTGCTCAGTTAAAACAAGAGTAGGACCTCAGTAAGTGCTATCTAATGACTTTTTTTTTTTTTTTAACCTAGGACATCATCTCAATTTCATTTTAGTCCTTACCCACTATCCCCTCTGTCTCCAGAATAATCAGATTACTTTTTTTAAAACAAATTATTTTTAAAAACATTTTTAGTTCATAGAAACAAAACAAAAAACCTTGTTTCAATGTAACTGTCTCAAAGAAAACTTAACTGTAAGTTTTCAAACAAAGCTGAAATCTTGTTTTTATCCATACTGTTAAACTAGCCCTGAATTTTGTTTTCTACTGTACGCAGTCTATTGTCCACAAAAAGAGGGTAATATTTTCCTGCCTTGTTTGTATGGGTTTTTTTATAAATAGTCTGATATGGTATAAATGATGACATGTACTGTAAACTGCATTTTTTTATCTCATACCTGGGTAAGAAGTCAAATCGATAATATGCTGTGAGCGGTTTTGATTGCAGGAGGACTGTATTCCAGGGAGCAAACTGTCTCAAAAATATTTTTAATTTTTAAAACACAGTTCTTAATAGCAAACAAATAAAGTAAAGGTGTTCCAGTATCTCTATATTGTATTTAACTGAAGGATGCAGGCTGACCTGTTCAGAAAAGATAACTGTGACCTTGAGTTACTAGTTCTTTGTATCTGGAGAGGACACTTGAAAACACTGTTCTTAAAAAATGGGATCGTGTAAAGGTTCCACCATGTAAATATTTCAGATATTAAAAATGTATATATTTGATTCAAGGGCTGATATTCTTTTGGAGTCTTGTGCAGCATGCAATTATATTTAATACTGCTTACTGAATCAACAACTGTTCCCACGTGAGGGGTGGGGTTTTTTTAAAACTACCTCCTGCTTTTTATTAGGTGACAAGAAGCCTGCAAATTTAGATGTGATCCCGATATGTTCTTTCTCATCCCTATGATACTACACAGCACAAAATGGTCTTTTTTAACTTGAAGTGTAATGCTCTGTTACTTTTATGTTTTGCTTGAGTTTGCATGAGAATGTTTTGTTTTACATGCTTATATGCTGCAATCTTCCTATTTTTTCTGCAACTTGATGTAACCCCGAGAAATCACTTCCCCATTCTCCTCATACAGTTTTACATCAGCATTTACCAGAAATTTTTCAGATTCTGAATAAATTCAAAACTTGCTCTGTAGTAAATACAGAGAAGAGGGAGAGTGAATTTCACGAGTGCCTTTTGACCTGGTTAACGGCATTCTCTCTCTCAGTAGTAGTAGTAAAATAATACAAATGTGACAAATGCATTGTGATGCCACTATGTGACAGATTGCCCAATGTCCTTATTGAGATTCTTCCGTGAAAGCTCAAGTTGTGAAACTTCAGTTTATTTTATTTCTGCCCTAAAGCTGTATGTGTACTGGACATAAGATTGTACTCTTCCTAAGGAGACTGAAGGTGCCTGGGTGAGAAAAAACATCTAGAATTTAAGCTGGAGTGTTAAATAGCTAAGTAAATAAGTATATAGAATCATTGTGACATCTTGAAAAAATTAATTTTGTGGACGTTGAGGTTTCCTTCAGTAGTGGAAGAAGGAAGGAGTGTTCATTATAGCATCTCTCACTTGGCTTATGCAAGTACTTCAGCAAATTTTCTTCTTTCAGAATGCAAGTATGAAGTCACTTCTATTTTTACCTCTTACTCAAATTATTATGTCTCAGTGATGATATATTTTGTGTTTGTGATGCTGGGGAGTAGAATACAAATTATGTACTGCTGAGGTTCTTAATATAGAAAGTAACTTCTGTTTGTTAAGTTTTTTTTTTTTGAAATGCAGTAACAGAATTATTTCAAGATAAATCAGAATTATCTCAAGATAAATTTGGAAAATCTGAGGTAGAAAAAGCCTTTTTTGCCAATATTACAACACTTTCTGAATATATGATTTAATATCCACTAAATGTATTGTGTTAGTGAATGCACAGATCAAGAGTATGCTCAGAATGAGCTACGTTAGGAAACTGCAAGTTGCCACTGGATATTCAGTGCATCATGCCACAGTGTGATCCATTCTGTGATGGAAAATGACTTCAAAACTTCCACATACTGTGCAGTGAAGAAATACCAGTATTTACGCAACAGAACTGGATATATTAGTTGTTGATTTGGACTTTACTGTAGAGTAAGGCTTTGCACCTTGACATAACACATGCCTTTATTCTCCTGATAATCATTCTGTATAACTGCCATTCAGTGCTGTTTGGAATATGTGAGTACAAAATATTAAATACCATTTTTGTCCATTAATATGCACTGAAAAGAAATGGGAAACAAGGAACAAGTAAGATGCATTACCAAAAATGACACATTTTTATATTACCTTTAAGCTGGTAAGAGACTTTTTTTTCTTAGAATATTTAACCTGGTCACATACCCATTTGGTCTTTCTAATCTTGGCTGTTTCCTTCCTCCATTCTCTTTAAGCAGGAACCTGTGCTAAAAATAACCATCTAACTAGTTGATCATAGCTCTAAATGTGGGCAGGGGGAAGGCCCTAAACAGAGTTGAGTTTCTTACTGCATTCCTGTATCTTACTACTAATGCTTTCCTATTACTGAAAGGGAAGCATTAGACCTTTCATGCCTTTATTAAACTGGGTTGCTTGATAGCTGCTTGCAGGAGTAGTATTTTGGAAAGTGGATACACCTGAAACTGGAAGCTGTTGGGTTTTATATTACAATTCGGTCACACTTTTTCCTATTCTATACATTATCCTGTGTAGGAACATTGGATGCAGACTTACACTGCTCACACTGCATGACTGTGCACTAATTTGTAAGGTATTGTAACAGAAAATAGTCTGGTGGAGCTGCATGCCCACATTTGGTTGGTTGAGGTTTGGGATTTTTTTTTTCTCCTTTTAAATTACAAGTAGTGTTATTTGGTTAATGGTTAGACATCACTTTCAGTCTAAAAATGGCTTCTTTTAAATGCATTTCATATGCATAGGATCTACTGAAAGTTGACACTTGTGTTGCAATGCTTACATCAAACCTTTTAGGTGCAATCGTTCTATGCCACTTCAATTTACCATGGATCTTCCTGTAGTGTAGTCAAATACTGAAATACAGCATTGTTTTAAACATGCAGAATTACGTAGTCCCTCAGAGATTTCACATTTTTTATATTCAGAATGATTACATTTATCATAGCACTTACTATATGTTAATAACCCACTAATTACGCACTTAAAAGGGAGCTGTGGATTACGCTCCAAATATGGATAGCAAGGTAAGTGTCAAGTTTGAAATTGACTTTGTTTCTTCCACAAACAAGTCACAGGTCTCCTTAGAGGCTTCTTGAAAAGATACCATGTTTACTTTTAATGTTTGTATTTTGAAATATAAATATCCCTTCAAGTTATTTTCATAATGCTTTCTTGCGGGACCATTTTAAAACAGAGTTACTAGCATATATATGGCCTGAATTCTAAACAACTGAGAAGTGTATTTTCTCATAATACCCCTCTCTTTGTTTGGTACCAGGTTAAACAGGAGAAATTAGATTTCCTTTGCGAGACTCCTCTGGCTGGCGTTTCAAAGTGTGCTCTCTCTCCATGCCCAGCCAGCCTCTCATCACCGGTACCTTTCTTCGCTCCCCGCCCCCGTGTCTCGGCTCCATGCAGTCGGTGGCGGCAGAGCTTCCATCGTGTGCTTTCAGCGGCGCTCCCGGGGGCCGGTGGGTGCCGTGCGTGCCGCAGTCCGTGCGGGGCCCGCCCCGGCCCGGGGCCGCTCCCGAGCCGCGCCGCCCGTGGGAAGTGAGGTGGCGGCGGGCCGGAAGCGGGCGGGGCCGGGCCGGGCTGCGGCGGCGCGGAGCCGGTGGCGGAACCCGGGGAAGAGGTGCCGGGCAGGTCGTCTGTGCGCGGGGGCCGGGGCAGCCCCGGGCGGGGCGAGCGAGGCGCGGTGCCCCCGGGCCGGGCAGCGGGAGCAGCGGGCCGGGCCCGGTGTTGGGGCGAGCCCTGCGCGCACTCCTGCGGGCCGGGGCGTTTCCCTGCCGCTCTCTCGCTTGCAGAGTCGGTGGGGCTGCGCCAGGCCTGGGCAGCTGGTGACTCCGGGCAGGGTCGGGCAGGGCCTGACCCGCACCCCCAGCGCTGCGGGGGCCTCCCGGGGGCCTGGGATCCCGCGCCGGGCCGGCCCCGGGTGGAGGGAGACGGCTCCGGCCCGGGCAGCGCTGAGGGCGGGGGTGCCCCCCGAGCGGCCGCAGCTGTTCTTGCTCCCCATTTGAGAGGCGAAGCACGGGTTAACCGCGCCGCGTTTGTGTCTGATCGATACTTGCTTTACTTTCTCTTGTAAGTAAAGAGGAGCTTACGTGAGTGTCGCCTCTGCTTACTATGTGTGTTAGCTCTGCTTATTAGGGTAAATGTAAGCGCATGACAACGACAGTTGTAATTCCTGTTGTTACGACGTAGGAAAGCCAGAAGGAAGCAAGGAAGAACTTTTTTTAGACAGGCTATTTTAATATTCACAGCTTCATTAGAAAAACAATTTTTTGGTGAGTCCCTTTTCAGGTAAAACAAGTAAAACTTTAGTTTGCGTCTGTTTATGCACAGTTCATTTGTAGAATTCATTCATTCATGGTTACGTTTCAAACATAAGAGTGTGCACTTATTTAGCAATATAAAATAAAGTTGTTTGGGAAGATGCCCTGAATCCATTTTCTGACTTCTTGAGTTTTCAACAGGAATTGTTTTAACAAACCATAAATTTTGAGGTCTGTGATTCAAGCTTTGATGCAATTCTTCTGTCAGTTACTCCTCCCTGTCTTCAAATACTCTCTGCTCCTTAGTAGCTGAGGTTTTTATTGTTTGGTGAGTTTGTGTGGTTTTCTTTACCGACCTTTAAGTAGGATTTTGTGACTGGTGTTAAGTTTTGGTTTTCTTTCCTGTAATTTAATTAGAATTTTGACATGCTGCAGTGTGAAAAATCTCATTCTGATATTCCACATATGGATAAAAATTCTCAACTTTTTCAGCTGTGGTTGCTCTGTCACTGAGAATTTCTACTGATAGCAACCTTAAAAAAAACCCATTGTTTATATTCTGTGACCCTACCAAAGAATTAGAGCAAAACTTTGAACAATGGAATTCTTATTTATTTTCATCTAATCTTATATTTAAATTATATTTTCAATGAGTTAAATTCCACATTTAATGGCAAATGTGGAAGGGAGCTATTTTAGTGAATGCTACCTGGTCTTTCTTTTTCCAAACAGTTTGCATGTTCCCACTAGACTTTTTAAATTGATGTTGCTTCCTAATGGGTCTTAAGTGGAAGCTACACTAAGTTAGCTGCTGAAGTTAGTAAGCACTGTGCCCTAGTCTTGTTAGATTTGGCTTCAATATGGTCCCATGTATGAAAATAGGCTTAACTCTCTCTTTAAGTAAGATGCTGTCTTGCAGCACTTGTGTCTTGCTGCTGCCAAAAACGAGAGACTTTATTTTGTGATGTCCTCTATTGTAGGAGTTTTTCAAGGTCCCTCCATACATTAGCTGAGTATACTAAAACAGCAAAAAAAATTCTTGATTTTTTTTTTTTCTTGGATTTGTTTTCTTCCATTTTAGTGAGTAAAATCTACTGTAAAGAGGACTGATGAGTGCTGGAGTTGGCACAAGGTAGGAACAAGAGCCGCTTGGGATGGACTGGCACCCCACCCTTGAGGTTTATTCGTTATTTATTATTTGTGTAACCAAGCCTGTGATTTATCTAGGCTTGCTCAC